AACCTCGTAGTCGTAGTAGCAGTAGTAGTAGTAGTAGTAGTAGTAGTAGTAGTAGTAGTAGTAGTAGTAGTAGTAGTAGTAGTAGTAGTAGTAGTAGTAGTAGTAGTAGTAGTAGTAGTAGTAGTAGTAGTAGTAGTAGTAGTAGTAGTAGTAGTAGTAGTAGTAGTAGTAGTAGTAGTAGTAGTAGTAGTAGTAGCAGTAGTAGTAGTAGTAGTAGTAGTAGTAGTAGTAGTAGTAGTAGTAGTAGTAGTAGTAGTAGTAGTAGTAGTAGTAGTAGTAGTAGTAGTAGTAGTAGTAGTAGTAAGTAGAAAGAAGTAGTAGTAGTCGTAGTAGTAGTAGTAGTAGTAGTAGTAGTAGTAGTAGTAGTAGTAGTAGTAGTAGTAGCAATACGCGTCTTATGATTAGTGTGATTATTCCTCCTCCTCCTCCTCCTCCTCCTCCTCCTCCTCCTCCTCCTCCTCCTTTCTCCTCGGCACAACCTTCACGCGGATCGTGCCCAAAAGTTAGCTCCACTTCCAGCCCAAACTGGGCAACCCTGCATGCGGCCCCCACGCCCATGCCGGCACATCCCTCACGCGGAGCGTGCCCCATGCCCCAAATGCAGCTCCGCTTACGGTCCCAGTGGTCAGGTTCGCATGCGGTCCCGCCGCCCATTTCGGCACACCCCTCGCGCGGATCGTGCTTACGGCCCCAGCGATCAGGTTCGCGTGCGGCCCCCCCGCCAACTGCGGCGCAACCCGCACGCGGAGCGGCCCTACGGGGAGCTTACGACCCCGGTGGGCAAATGAGCCTTCGATCTCCCCGCCAATCTCGGAATACGTGGCCCACATGCGGATCACCTGCGGCCCCAAGTTAGGGGGCCACATGCGAACCCTACCCCTGCCCCCCACGATTTCCGAAGGGGGAAGCGTGGGGTTCACGCCGTTCGGGAGCTCCCGAGCAAAGGGAACCCCACCCTCCCCCTCAGAAATCGTGGGGGAGGGAGGGAGGAGGAGGAGGAGGAGGAGGGAGGAGAGGAGGAGGAGAGGAGAGGAGGAGGAGGAGGAGGAGGAGGAGGAGGAGGAGGGGGAGGAGGAGGAGGAGGAGGAGGAGGAGGAGGAGGGGAAGGAGGAGGAGGAGGAGGAGGAGGAGGGGTAGGGTTCGCATGTGGCCCCCCACAAGTGGGCAAGTCTAGACGTGGTCCCCCTGCCCACGTCGGCAGGCCGCTCACACGGATCGTGCCCCCACGGGAGCTCCTCCTGCGGCTCGCGTGGGCAAGTTCGGGTGCGGTGCCCCCGCCCGCCATTTTCGGCAGACGCCTCGCACAGATCGTGTCCCCACGGGATGCTCCACCGAAGGCCACAGTCGCAAAGTCCGCATGCATGGCGTGTCCCCGCCTGGCTCGGCGCAGCCGTACAACGCTTCGTGGCCCAGCGGGGGAGCTCCGCTGGAGGCCCCAATGGACAGGGAACTCAGCATGCATCTGCACGCTTGCCCAGCAGACCTTGATCCGCACTGCCCTGCGGCGGGCCATACACGGAGAGAAGACCACTCCTTGTACTACACGCATCTGCATGGAGTTCGGCCCGTCGCCAGGCTAAGTTGATTGCCCCGGAGCCCGAAACGGGACTTTGGAGGCCAAACCTCAGAAAAGAGAGCTGCCGCATGTTTCACAACGCTGGGCTTCGGATAGAAATTCGACCCCCAGACCTCTCCTGGGGAGCACTCTGACTAGAACTTCGAGGACAATCCAGCCGTGGCCACTGGGGCGGCCCAAGAGGCCTGAAGAGGCAGAAAAACATCCCAAACCCCCGCCCGATCCTCGATCGTCGCCTGGCTCCACCCCACCATCGGTCCTCCCACTTCCTGGGTCGGTGTGCTGCTGCCACCCCGGAGGTAGCGACATGGCGCTGCCGTACTCGAGGGCGGGCCACCAGGAACAGCGCCCGGCCGCTTGCGCAGAGGCGCGAGGGAGGGAAAGTGAAGGAGCAACCAAACGGATGGGGAGGAAAGAAAGCCGAAGAGGAGTGAAGAAGGGAGGTAAAGGGGAGGTGAGGAGAGGGCCTTCTGAAAAGCTCTCCGCGTCTTGGGGGGAGGCTGAGAAGACTGCGCGGGAAGCTTGGGGGCGCCCGATCCATCTGAGAAGGCCCGCCCCCTCTCCTTTCCTTTCCAGCCTGGAACATATCCCTCGACGCATGGACAAGCGCGTTCTCGCAAAGTAACTGCTCACAAATGGCCTGGGTTCGCCGCGGGGGGGGGACGATCCACTACATCGAGGCAAACATGTGTTTTCGGACGTGGGCAAGTAGGCCATTTGCGAGTAGTGGAACGCGCTGGGTGAACGCAGGCTGTGCAATCATGCTTGCCTACAGATGTTGTTACAATGTTTTATTCTTCGGCGAGGGCCTGGACTATCCGGCGGAGTGGGGGGGAGGAGGTGCCGGCCGATAACCAAACCGTTTCGCTTTCGGCAGCCCAACGTATGCCCGTGCGCACCCTTCGGTACTCCCCTTGCCGCTCTCCGCGACATACCTCCCGGGTGGGACGCGCGTCGCTCTTTCTCAGTTCACTGCACCACTTCGGTGTTTCCCTGTCGCTCCGCGCTGGACCAACGGGCCTCGCGCTCTGCATCTTGCTTCAGCACCTCGCGGCGCGCCCCGCCGCCCTGCGACGCACCTCCCAGGTGGGACGCGCGTCGCTCACTCCCTGTCCCCTGCGCCACTCCGGCGCGTCTCTGCTACTCTGCGCTGTTCCGCCCTCTGGGCCGCCCAGCGTCGCGACCTGTCTTCAGCACCTCCCGGTGCTCCCCGCCCCCGTTCCTCGCGTCGTACCTCCCGGGTGGGAGGCGCGTCGCCCGTTCACCGTCCCGTGCGCCACCTCGGCGCTCCCCCTGCACACCACGCTCCCCCGCGCGTGTGCCGCCCTGCTTGGCCACCCAGCTTTTCCGCACCCGTCGGTGCTCCCCCTCTCGGCGGCGGCCCCGCGCTGGCGTGTCCTCTTGCGGTGCGGTTCTCCGCCCCGCTCCTGCGGGCTGCCGCGGGACGCCATGCCCGCCGCCTCCGCCTCCGCCGCCTCTCTGCCCCTGGCTGCCCCTGGCTGCCCTGGGCGGCGACGGTCCTCCTGCTGCGGAGCGCTCTCTGGTCGCGTCGCCGTTTCCGGGTGCCCCCTCGCCTCTTCCACGTCGCTGGTGCCTGCAGCCCGCGGGCGCCTGGGACGCTCTCTTTTGCCTCCCGCCCTGCCCCGCCCTCCGGCCACCTGGCCTCAGGCGGTCCCGCTGCAGTGTCCCTTGCACTGCCCGCGTTTCGCTGCTCCCGCCCCCGTACGGTTCAGCGTGGTGCGTTCTCCTCGGGACGCCGCGGTACGACGCACGCGGTCTCCTGTGCTCCCCCAGCCCCTGGCTGGCTGCCACTCCACGCCAACTGTTGCCCCCGTGGTTCGCCACGGTCGCCCACCGCGCTCTGGCCCGGCGCGCCTGGCTGCTGCCGCCCGCCGGCTTCTCATCGTCGAGTTCTTCGGCATCTGAGCGTCCCTCCTTCCTCGTCGGCCTCCCCCCTCCCATCTTGCACGCCGGCCAATTAGCTAGTTAGTGCGCCTACCTAGCTGTTGCGCTGGTGCGGACTTCGCCGCCTCGCCGCTTACGGAAAACTTTCTGACCTCCTGAAGAACGCGTGTCGGCGCCAACGCGTGCTTGGGCACCGAAGCCCGTCAACACGACGCATAGACAAGCGCGCAGCACTACTCGCGAAGTAACTGCTCACAAATGGCCTGGATTCGCCGCAGGGGATTTACGATCTTCTACATCGAGGCAAACGTGTTTTCGGACGTTTGCTAATTGGCAGTTTGCGAGTAGTGGAACGCGTTGGGTGAACGCAGGCTGTGCAATCATGCTTGCCTCAAGATGTTGTTCTGTGCTTCGGCGGGGGCCTGGACTATCCGGCGGGGTTGGGGGGATGAGGTGCCGGCCGATAACCGAACCGTTTCGCTTTCGGCAGCCCAACGCATGTCCGTGCGCACCAGCACTGCGGACCCACGCAATCGACAAAGTCAGGCTATCGGGGGGGCGGGGGTGGCCGATGATCTGGCTTTATCGCAGGACCCTACTAAACAAAGAAAAAAAAAAATCCTAAGCAACCACACGCGAACCCAACCTAATGATCCCCAGGACGTGAGTCCTGCTGGACGGAACTGGCGGTTAGTTCGGCGGCGAGCCCGGGGGGGGGGGGGGGAAATGTGCGGGGGCGGGCCTTCTCAGAAGGCCCAGCACTTCCCCGGCCTCTTGAAAAGTGTTCTGGGCCTCCCCCGAAGGCACGGAGAACTGCTCCGAAGGCGCCGGGGCTTCTGAGAAGCCCCGCCGCCTTCTGAGAAGGCCTGCCACCTCTCGCCTCCCCCCCCTCGCTCGCCGCAGAAAAAGGGGGGGGGGCGAAGCAGCTCGCGTGGCTGATCTCCCTGGCGCCTCTGGCCGCCGCAGGCGGCAGCGCGTCGGGGAAAGCGCTCGGCGGCGGGGCCGAAAACAGCCGCACCTGGGATATCTCGTAGCCGCCCCATTTCCTTCCCTATCCTTAGGTCGGGCATGTCCTCCTACAAGCGGCTGTTTGAAAGAACATTACAACATGGTCAACAAAAAACATGAGTAGTCACAAGAGCACAAAAAAACATCACCTGACTATTGTGTCACTACTATTTAACATTCCACCTTGTAGATGGACAGTCCCGGCTTAACCCCATCCCTGGTGATGTCCAGACGCGCTGACAAGTGACGAGCCGATCACCACTGGTAGATTCACCAAAACCTAGCCTCCCCAGACTCCAGGTAAAAAAAGAAACCAGCTTCGCTAGCCACGACATGACATGTTGGTTTGAACAGATCCCCCATCTATAACATACACGCTTGAAACTAGGAGGAGGAGGAGGAAGAGGAGCAGGAGGAGGAGGAGGAGGAGCAGGAGAAGAGCTTCTACGAGGGACTGAGGGCGCAGAAGGAGGATAAGCAGGGTGGAGGAGGACGAGGAGAATGGAGGTCCCCACGCCGACCCGAATCCGTCCCGAGTGTGCTAGCGCCAACGTGAGCCTGGCCGCCGAGGCCCGTCAACACGACGCAGGCGGTGCAATGAGGGCCAACGTAGTTTGCGTGCTAAACACACATTGGAGCTAACAGGCGGAGGAGGAGGAGGGGGAGGAGGAGGAGGAGGAGGAGGAGGAGGAGGAGGAGGAGGGGGAGGAGGAGGAGGAGGAGGAGGAGGAGGAGGGAGGAGGAGGAGGAGGAGGGCCAACCGTATCGGTGGAGCTGAACGAGGGAAAGCACACATGGGGCTAACACACGTCCGGAGGATCATCGACCTACCCCTGCAGGACAAATGTCTGGAAGACTGGCCTCGGAAGATGCCTGCAGCCAGGTGGCCCCAGCAAGGGTGTCCGGCACCCCAGCGTCGGCTGGACCCGCAGGGGTAGGGGCGTTCGCAATTGGTTACATAATGCCCTCCTCCTCCTCCTCCTCATCCACCTCCTCCCCCCCCGCCCCTCCTCCTCCTCCTCCTCCTCATCCTCCTCCTCCTCCTCCTCCTCCTCCTCCTCCTCCTCCTCCTCCTCCTCTGATTATTCTTCTTTTTAGTATTAGTATTCTTATTATTACTAGTATTATGATCACTATTATGAATAGTAGTATTATTATGTTCATTATTATTCTTAATATTATTATTATTAGTATTATTATTATCATTATTATTAATATTATTATTATTAATAATATTATTATTACTACTATCATCATTAGTATTAGTATTATTATCACTATTATTATTAGTGTTATTAATATTATTATTACTATTATTATTACTGTTATTATTATAAGTATTAGTATTCGTATGCTTATTTTCTTATTATTATTATTATTAGTAGTAGTAGTAGTAGTAGTAGTAGTATTCGCATCATTCTTCTGATTCTGAATAATAAGAAGAATAAGTTGTTAGTACGATTCCTCATATTATTAGTATTCGCATTATTCTGCTTAGTGTGATTATTATTCGCTCTTTATTATTCATAATAATATTACTATTCGTATCATTATAACTATTATTTTCTTCCTCCTCCTCCTCCTCCTCCTGGTCCTGCTCCTGCTCCTCTTCCTCCTCCTCCTCCTCCTCCTCCTCCTCCTCCTCCTCCTCCGCTTTCGAACGTGGACCACTCGTTGCCAAGCGGCCTTGGGCCGCATGCGGCGGCCCAGGGCGGTCTCCGGGGGTCTCTGGCGGTCTTCAGCGGCGTGCGGCGATTTCTGGCTGTTTCTGGCGGTCTCCGGCGCGAAAGCTGGAGGGCTGCGCTCAACAGGGGGTCCACGATCGAACACCTAAGGCTGCTCATCTCCCCATTTTCAGATTCACGAGGCTCGAACCTCCATTCGCCAAGCATTTCTGGCTGCTGTGGAGCGCTGACCGTCAAGCTTCCGAAGAGATTGGCAAGCAGGTGAACATTGTCAATTACAAGTCGATAAACATATCGACCGTGCTCCCCCACTCAAGACGCTTCTTTTTAGGGGGGTCCCATTCACCAAGCAGCGCTACCACGGGTGATGGAGACCCGACCGCGCAGCAACTGACAGCCGCGATGGTCCTCATCCTCGTCCGATTCGTCTTTCTCAGTGTCCTTCCCCTCAATTGCCTTCGGCCCACCCGAACCAGCCTAAGCGGGCCGAACCGGCCGAATCGGACCAGTCAAACCAGACCAGCCGAACAGGACCGGCCGTGAGACTCGAACCACCCTGGCCAGACTGAACCGGACGGCGGTCTGAACCAGACCTGCCGAACCGACACGAACGCATACCGGATCGGACCGAACCGAAGAAGCACATCTTCGGTGAGACTGAAGCTACACTACTTTGCGTGCACCACTCCGAACACAAGTATCACAAGTCACGGCTGTCCAACCACAAGGCTGACGTCCAAGGCCCCCTCGACATCGACTCCTGGACACCTCCAGGAGCTCGCCTCGACAAACATGCCCAGCAACACCCGACCACTGCAGCAAGGGTTAGGTCAGGCATGTCCTCCTACAGGCGGGTTGCCGAAGAAAACTCAGAAATCAAAAAGTACTCAAAAGTCGCGAAAATTCGTCGCCTGACTATTTTATTTCTATGTTTGACCTTTCCTCCCGTATGCCCGACTTAAAACAAGGGAAGCTGCGGACGGCAGGCGAGAGCGACCGGCAAGAGCGGCGGCCACCGGGGCGCGCCCACGATGTCTCCAAGCCCGCGCTCGCGGGCGCCAGCGGCCCCTCTCACGCGCAGCGCGCGCGCACAGGCGGGGGCAGCCCGGCGGCGGCCACCACGCGGTCAAGCGGTGACGCTGCGGATCACCGTGTACGTGAGCGGGCCCTGTGGGAGCGGGGGCGGGCAGATGAGAGCCAACTGCCGCGCACGCCCGTACAGTTTTTTCAGCGCGCACGATTTGTTAACACCATCCGTCCGCACTAGAGCCAGCGATACAGAGGCGGGGGCACGCAACGCAGATGTGTCACGAAGTACGGCCCGCAAATCGCATCACCGAAAAATGGGCATCCGCCGTAACGGCCTGGACGGTCACGCGGCGGGGGGGGGAGGAGGAAGAGGAGTAAAGGAGGAGGAGGAGGAAGAGGACGGGGATCACGGGCCCGTGGGTCTGGCGCGTGGGCGCCAGATCCACGGGTCGGGGAAGAACACTCTGGAGCATGAAGCTGGCGCCGCCTGGTCTGGCGGCGGAGCGCCCCGATGTCACGCGGAAGCGGGACCCGTCGCCATTCCACGCGCCTCGGTCCAGTGGTGTCGTTGTCCTGCGTGGCACATGTGAGAATGTGCGCAGCCGCAGCGCTGCAGATCTCATACGATGAGGGCGTTGGATAAGGAACCTTTGGACAGGTAATCCAGGGTCTGGAAGCCGACAGAATACCAATTGAGGCTTCGCCATGGATATCACCGCTGCCTTCTTCAGAATCCGATACACCACCGCGTAGAATTGATAAAATTGCAACTTTAGAAAATGGACCCCACTTCGAGCGCTTGCTGACAAAATGGTCCGGGCCCAGCATGGGCCAAGCTTGCGGGGTGCCAGAAAAACAAGATACCACAAGACTAAGGAATGAGAAATCAAATTAACTATTCGCTGAACCCCTTCCTCTGGAAAGCGGATACCTCGGAATTGCAAGACGCTGAAAACAGCGCTCCCGGCAGCTGCGCGGAGCCGCGGGGGCCCAGGACACCCGACCTGGGACCCGTGGCCCAGGACCCCGCGGGGCGGGACTGGGGCCGGGGTCTGTAGCTGCGCGAACTCGGGACCCGCGACCCGTGGCCGCGAGGACGAATGCATCAATGAACTCGTATGTTGAACCATCGCTGGCCATCGCTCGGGCGCGCATCCCCTGTGTTCTTGTTCGGTGTCGTGCGTGGGTTTTTCGCGCCAAATGATCAAGGATGCTCCTCGATGGTCCTCGCCGAAAGAAAAATGCACACGTCCGAGCGATGCCAAGATTCGTTCACAGCAGAAGGATCCACATAGGCAGTGCCACCTGGTCTTTTTCTTCGCGCCGCGCTGGCCGTGGCGACGGGGTGTGCGACTGCAGATTGACTGGAGCCTTGACGCCTTACTGGAGCCTGAACTCCTGAAATATCGGAAACAAACGCCGAGACTTAACGGGCAGAGGAGAAGACAAAAACGTGCAGAAAGAGAGGGAAATTTAACAGGGGCCAGCAATCCAAGGCAATATCTGTAACCAAGTCAGGATTTGAGGTGCTCTTCAAAGAATTCTGGACTCCATGAAGAAACTTGCTCCTAAATCATCTGAAGGATGTGGGGAATCCTCCAGGGTCTGAGACTTCCTGGGCACATTCCTTAACGAACGCCCCCACCGTAAAACCACACGTAGGATTACGTGGCATGTGAGAATACTACCGCGCCGCAAGTCTCTTAGTGCCAACGTCCTCTGGGGTCGCCACATCAGCCCCAGTTGAAGTAGCACTCAGCAGATGACCCGTCAGCGGACATCCATGGAATACAGTCGGGGCGTTGATCTAAGGAACCCTAAAAAAGGAACGAGGCCCCTGTTTTTCCATAAGTTAACCTTCGATTCCCCATCGAAAACATAAGGAAAACCCGAGGCAAGCTGTGAAACACTTAAGGAACACGGAGCCCCTCCCCAACGAAAAGGGTTCCTTTTTCAGGGCCCCGACTGTACCGCGCATCGGGCGCGACGTATTCTAAGGGCAACTCCTGCCTTTAAATGTTCCATTCCGTCACTGTTCGTGCTCTGTTGCTGCGCATCCCTCTCTGGAGCGTGTTGTGCGACAGCGAGGCAAGACGGCGCCCAGACAATAGCGGCTCAGCCGTTTAAACTGCAGCCGCTAAACGCACTGACTGGACCCTGATGGCGGCGGAGCGGACGTGGAGGGAGTTTCGCGCACGTAAGGCACCCTCTCTGGTCCAGAGGCAGATAGTAAGACACCTCCCCACGTCGTTACTGAGAATGAGAATTTGCTGATCACATGCTCTGGTCGCCGTGCCCGAAGAAAGGCGGCATAGGGATCGCCGCCAAGTCGACGTGCGCCAAACTATCGGGTAGCCAAAGATTGCGAGACTGCGCCACTTGCATAGCTCCCTAAACACATAGTCTGCTTTGGTCATGCAGATGCATATACCTATCTACCTGCCTGCCTGCCTGCCTGCCTGCCTGCCTACCTACCTACCTGACTACCTACCTACCTACCTACCTGCCTACCTACCTACCTACCTACATACATACATACGGTGTGCTGAAGGGCAAAGCTGCCTGCGCCGAGGGCACGCATCGGGGCACCCCAGAGACAGTCGGACTTGCTTGGAGAGACCACGTGAGAGGACACGAGACTCTTTCGAGGGCCACACTGCCACAGGAATGCAGAAGGCACGGATCGCGAGGCACAGGACACAAAGGTACCCTCGACTTGGCAAGGTCGGCCTACTAATCAGGGCCGATGTTACAGTTCGCGGCCCCGCCTCGGAGACCAGCGACACACACTCCCAGCTCCTTCCGGGTAGGACTGCACGGTGCTATGCCAGATCGAGATCGGGGATGGACAGACCCCCCTTTAGTAAAACGTGGTTTAGTGAAAACGACCTGAGGCCCAAACCTGGTGGGCGCAAGCCTGGAAAATAACGGCCACGGCGCCCTCTCGAGAACCGAAAAGGGACAATTCACTAATCGACGTGTCACTGTTGGGGGTTCTGTCCACCCCCGACGAGATACTATGCAAACTCGATGGCGTCCATCTCCCGACACCCATGTAACGCTTCGGGGCGCTCGTTCGAACGCTCGGCCCAAGTCTGAGCGTGCGGCGTGCGGAGAGCCCACGTCCACCTCAACCCGCCGTGCGGTCTCCCGTGGTGGCACGATGGCATGCCGAGGCCGTGCCTGCAACATCAGGCGAGCGCGTTCCTGTCGGATTGGATTCAGGTTGCGGCTCGTCTCTCTCCCTAGATCGTGTAACGTCGCGCATCGCGCCCCGCGGCACGCGACGAACCGTCAATGTCGCACCTTCACGCCCTCGATGCGCCCTCGTCGGCAGCCCCCTGGTCCAGACCACGACGCGCGCAGCCTGATTGTCTTCGCGCCCCCGCGGGCGCACCCAGCTTGTCGAGCAAACCTGTCTAGACAAGCGCGTTCCACTACTCGCAAAGTGACTACTCGCAAATCGCCTGGATCCGCCGCGGGAGATTCACGGATGTATTACATCGGGGCAAACAAACGTTGTTCGGACGTTTGCGAGTAGGCCCTTTGCGACTACTGGGACGTGCTCGGTGACCGTGTGTGCCTGATGGCATGATGAAGCTGCCTTTCGGCACATAGCGAGATGTCGCTGCTCTACGGAAGCGCAGTGACTGCCGGCAGCCGCCTCGGGATCGTCGCCAGACAGCACTGGCACATCGAAGAGGAGGAGGACCACGCCAACGCACCGAATCGTGACACGATGGTCCGTCACCGCCGCAGAAAGCCCTGCATCCACGCGAAGACCGTCAGAACATGCCCACCACGGAAACCTTCAATGAAACAAAAAACATCGTTTGGGGACGCAAATTTAGATCCCGCGGGCCTTCCGACAGCTTTCTCCCGCGAGCCCGCCCTCGCTGTGAGTCCGCAGATGTCCGCTGACCTTCCGCCAGCCCTCCGCCAGAGGCGAGACACGCCGAAAGCGAGGCCTCCCTCTGGAGCCCTCTGAGAGTATGACAAACGAGGGAGGCCACCACACGGAGTCGGCGAAAGCGAGGGGCAACGTCAGGGGAGAACCAGCTCAGGGGGAGAAACATCGAGCTCGAATCGACGACACGTCGCCCGCTGGGCCTTCGACAGCGAAGCCGCACGGTCCCAGGCGCGGCGGGCTATGGGGCCCTCCTCGGCGACCAGCACTGGGCGATCGGGGGCCGACGCGTCCCCCCTCTGAGCCTGTCCCCCCCATGACGGTGCCCCTGAGAGAGCCCAGGGAACAGAGAGAGAGAGAGAAAGTGAGAGAAAGAGAGAAAGAGAGGGAGAGAGAGAGAGAGAGAGAGAGAGAGCCAGAACCATACCTAGGTCGGGCATGTCCTCCTACAGGCGGATCTGGGAAGGCAAATAAAACACCGTCAAAACAAATGAGAAATACTCAAAGGAGCACAAAAAAACAGTACCCTGGCTAATGTTTGCTATTATTGTATAGTTTTCCTCTAGAGGGACACGCCCGATGTAATGCCAGAGGGAAGGCGCGGGGCGGCGGCGCCCGCGGGTGCCCCGCCAGGAAGGCGCGGCTCGCGTAGCAGCCCTGCCCCGCGCACGCACCGCCGGGCACCGCGAACGTGCGGGCGCTCACGAAGCAGAGCCGTCGCAAGCGTAAACGCACACGCACGCACGCACGCACACAGACACTGACACACACACACACACACACACACAACACACACACACACACACACACATACACACACACACACACACACACACACACGCATACACACACGCATACACACACGCATACACACGCATACACACACACACACACACACACACACACACACACACACACACACACACACACACACACACACACGCACACACGCATACACACACACACACACAGACACACACAGACACACACAGACACACACACACACACACATACGCACACACGCACACGCGCGCGCGCCAACGGCGAGGTGACGGCACCGTCGCGATGCGCTGTGCCCGGTCACGCATACGCTCACACACACACACACACTCACACACACACACACACACGAACAAACCGAGCGAGGACGAACAACCCTAAGAAGCAGTTCGATATCCCCACGGCGCGATCAGTAGCACCGAAGTTGAATCATGAATTCCCCAGGAACGGGGGTGGGAACCGCCGCGCGATATCTTTCGCACCCCAAATAAATACTGTTTCTGCGGGGGGGGCGGCGGGGGGGACAGGAGTAGAGAAGGAAACCTGATAGAGAGAGGAATCCTGGCTTGATCATCGTGGATCCGATTTGCATGCGCCTGTGATACTAAATAGCCTTATTTGGTTCGGATTCGGACACGATCGAAATCAAATTGGGGTCCTAATGGCACCAGACTGAGCTCCGATTGGACCCCGACTGGGGACTCACAGGAATCCTATTATTCACGCTTCGCGTACCCCCACCAGCCCAATCAGAAACTTTGCCCATGAGCTAACGGGAACACAAGGACGAAGAGACAAATATAGTGAAACAGGGCGGGCGAGCAGGGTGAATAGCGAGCTTTCCGGGAGCAAAACAATGTTTGGGGAGGGCCTCCTCGGGCCATCCCTGGGGAAGGAGGAGGAGGATGAGGATGAGGATGAGGATGATGATGACGATGACGATGACGATGACGATGACGATGACGATGAAGATGATGATGGTGATGATGATGGTGATGATGATGATGATGGTGATGGTGAGGATGAGGAGGAGGAGGTGGAGGAAAAGGATGAGGAGGAAGAGGCGGAGGAGGAGGAGGAGGAGGGGGAGGAGGAGAAGAACACGACGACGACAACGACGACGACCACCACCACCACCACCACCAAGATGACGAAAAAGGAGGAGCAGGAGTAAAAAAGACGATGACGGCAAGGACGACGACAAGCACGAGGAGGAGGAAGTGGAGAAGGAGGAGGGCAACGAGGACGAGGACAGAGCTTTCCAAACCGTTTTGGGGGAACCCCCTTGGGACTCGTTTGGGGGATCGCGGGTTCCTCTTGTAGCTCGTTTGCGGGGCATTGGGCCCCCCATCGGGGCAGTTTACAAGGCTCTCGGCAGTCCTGGGCGGGCCTTTTGGGGCGTCTTGCATGCCTCGGGGGAGCCTCGTCGGGCCCTCGTGGATCTCCTGAATATAGATTGGGGAACTTTCTGCGGGTTTCTTGAAGCCTCCTGGTCGCCTTTGGGGACCCTGTTGGAACACTATTTGGGAGACCTGGGCGCCATTTCGGGGCCATCTTGGTTGGGGCTCGGGGCCATCTTGGTTGGGGCTCGATCGAAGAAGAAGGTACCACTTTAGGCCATCCCCAGTTTTTTAAAACAGAAATAAGAGCCCCGAACTGCAAGCACTGCTTGGGGAATCGATGCCGTTCGCCCCCTCGCCGGGGCCGTCTTGGACACCCCCATGGGTCGCACCCCCCCCCCCATCCAGGCCCAGGGGAGGCAGCGGTGGGGGGGAGCAAGAACCTCGTTGAAGTGGAAGAGGGAACATGGAAGAGGAACCCCCCCAAACCACCAACGTCCGGACGGCTGGTGGATTATCCCGAACAGGCAGGGTCGGCGGTCGCAGCGGCGGGGAGAATTCCTTTCGCGCGGAGAAAAGCGCACGCAATCACATCAGACATGAAAAGAAAAGAACGACCTTCCGCGCACATCGAATACAGCCGAAAGTATGATCGACGAAACCACTACGCAAGATATCTGGGCTAGTTCCAGGAAGACTTGTTTCAGCAAGCCTGGGCAAACTTCTGCGCCGTCGACGCTGGAAGGCGAACACATTCGAGAAACTGGGCCAGCTTCCTGGCAAGTTGGCAAAGAAACGTCGCCCCAGCAATTCGGAGGGAAGTTTCTTAAGCAGATGCTCAACTGCAACCGAATGTCATCTATAAGTGGCGCGCACCGATCGCGCCATCGCGAAGGGGAGGGCCGCGCCCCCCCCCCCGCCCATCAACGCTTCCTGGGTGGCCGAACAATGGGAAAACGATTGAAGCCTCGCCTGCGTCTCGCGCGCACCGCTCTCCTTCGGGTAAATTCTCGAGATCCCCGCGCGAAGGCCGCCCCATGAAACTGCGCGCTTCGCGCGGCGCAGCCGCGCACATGTCTCCAACCGCGGAGATAGACGCCGCATACTTGCTGCCCATGTGCACGTCTGCTGGAGCGCGGCACCCCGCGGCGGCCCGGGGGACGTCGCAACTAGCGCCGGCGCCTGCGCACCTGGGCGCACGGGCTTCTTCCTCAACGGGCCAGCGCCGCCACGCGATGGCACCGGTCGGGGAATTTCATCAGCGGCCCAAACTGACTGCCGCGCGCAGCCGATGGGCGGCCCCCCCCCTGGCCATCGCTCTCCGCAGACACCAAGTGGGCCGCGGGCGGGCCTGCCAGGCCGAGCAGCGCTCGCCGGCAAGTCAGGCCAGCAAGCTCGCGGCTCTCTGCGACGCTGCAGCAGCGGCATCGGCCACTGCGCCCGCGGCGCCATCGCCGGCGGCGCCGCCTCCACCATCCGAAGAATCCGCTTCCTACACGACAATATCGAACCTTCTCCGATCACAATATACTACACTCTCCTCTTGTAGATTGTGGTCTGCCCGACTCTACTTTGCCGTGTACGTATACTCTGTCCTGTCCTGCCCGATTATATTATACCCGGCCCTACTCAAACCTACACTGTTCAAGACGACGCTAACTGATTGTACTAGTCTACTCTGCCCGACTCTACTCTATTCGATCTACTCTATCTACGCTATCCTAGACGCTTTGCGTCATACCACCAGGCCATCCAGAACCGATGCCAAGAGGGCTTGTCCTGATCCGGGGCGCGGGGGAGTTCGCATTGGAACCGAAAGGGCTGGGTAAGACGCCATACCCCAAGAGGGAGAGGATGGAGGAGGAATCGGAGGATCAGGGGGAGGAGGACGAGGGGCGGGGAGAGGGAGAGGGGGAGAGGAAGGAGGGAGGAGGAAGGAGGACCAGGCGGATGAGGAAGCGGAGGAGGAGGAAGAGCGCGAGCGAAGGCCTGAGGCCTCTTGGATGCCTCTCGGAGCCTCTTCCGATGAATTTCGAACGTCTCTCCCAGCACTCTTGAGGCGCCCTGGGGGTCTCTCGGCAGTCGCGCGGGCATCCTCGGGCGTCTTGGGTGCCTCTGGGGGGGGGGCCTCTTGGGGCCTCTCGTGGGTCTCTCGGGGGCCTCCTGGGAGCATCTTCTTTTTTTCCCGCAACGGAACCAGCACGATGGCACCAAAGTCCCTGCGCGAACGGGCCGCGCGGAGCGCTCGACGGGCCGGGCCGGTAGTAACGGGCACGGGCGGCTAAGGTACACTTGCAAACCTGCTACTCAGAACCCCCCTGTGCACCATCACCAGGCGACACTCTCTTTACATTTGACTGAAAAATTGATACATTACTATACTGCGGTATTTTTACGCGCGCAAGTGCTCACTCCCCTAAGTAGTCCCGGGCCAGCTCGGCAATCGCTAGTACACGGTAATGCACGGTCGCCGAAGGGAACACGATCTTCGTGGACGTGCGCACAACTTCCTCGCCAGCGGAGGCTCTCGTGGCCCTCTCAAGCTCAAGAGTATTTTCTTCTGGGAGAGGCTCCATCTTCTTGACGTCCGGCGGATAGCCATCTGTCAACCAGCCAGAGGCAATAACGGCGGAACGGATGTTGTCCTCGGGCAAGACGCCTGAGCGTATGCCCCACTCGATGGCATCCTCCGGGCTGATGTTGAACGCTGTCACGGCGCCGGCAACGTGCAGCTCGCTGACGTCATCACCTGAGTCTGCGCCGTAATCCACCTCGTCCTCGCACACAACGTCCTCAACAGATGGCGCGCAGCCTGGACCAACCCGGTGAAATCAGCCCACCAAGGCACCGAGATTGCACTCAGGCTCTGAGCTCTCATCTTGCCGGCGTGGGTCGAGGTGGAGGGCCTGGCACCTTCGGCTATGATTCCATTTGAGCCGAAGCCGCCGAACTGGGACACGAAGGGGCCTCCTGGGGGCATCTTGGAGGCCTCTTGGGGCCTCGGGGGGGCCTCCTGGGCACCTGTCGGGGCTGTCTCGGTGCACCCTTGGGAGCCTCGGGTGCCCTCTTGGGGCCATCTTGGAAGAGATCGATCAATCGATCAAACGAAGGCCGTGCCAAATTACGCCCCCCCCGCCCCAGGAGGCCAAAATGTGGCCAAAAACTGAATGCAACCATGAGCTTTGGCTTCCCCGCCGAGGCAGTCTTGGACGATCCAACCCCTCGCGAGACCTCCCGTCCAGACCCAGGGGGAGCGCGCAGGGGGAGGGGCAAACCCTTCCCCGAGGGCTGGTGGGATCTAAAACCTGAGAAAAATCGAAACTCCATCGGCCCCACATGAATCAGAACCGTCGTAGAGTTCGGAGGATGTATCGGGCGCCGAGGGCGTTTCAGAGCGGTCTGGAAAGCTATGAAAAACGCTCTGGAGCGATTTATCTCGAGGCCTGCCTCATGATGGGAATCCGATTGGAATCAGATTGGGATCCTCTTGAAATCCTCAGGAACCCTGAAGAGTCCTGGGTGGGCAGAAAGGTTGGG